GTGGCTCCATCTAGCTGCCAAAAACAAACGCATGTATATATATATATATGTAGATTGAGTTATATGTATGTGTTCTATTCAAAGACAAACTTCAATCAGAGTCTAAGAACATGATCAGGAAATGAGTTCTATCAATTGTGGACCTCGTCAAGTACAGGACGCACGTTCCTAGGGGCAAGTTTCCTGCAATGAAACACGACCACATTGACATTGACTGACATGATACTCAGCATTATCTGGAGTAATGAAGCTTTTCTCGGCTGTTCTTGACCGACGAATTAAAGTCTATAGGTGGCCCCTGCCGTATCCACCCTTTTATAGTTCCTAACATGGTGAGAATGACGAGAACTGATGGTGGGTTGCTATGTTTTGAACATCAAAACTCAAGCCAAAAAGCTGCCGCCAGATTCAAGAGTCCAGTGTGACCCGTTCCCAGCAACCAGCCCTAAGTCCAGCAGCCACTAAGTCCCTTTCCCTCCGCGCTTTTCGTGAGTTGGGAGCCTGAATCCTGGGAGGCATGATGAGGCGTGTCTTTTTCCCTATACTTCAATATACTTCCTCTTCACCCTCAGTGGAGGGCATCCCACGCCAAGCATGGGGGACCTGTTGGTCCTATTATGTACAGCTTGGGATAGATTGGGTACATTCCCTGGGCTCAGTGAATGATCGTTCAATTGTAGGCCAACATCTCCAACTGATGTTCTGCCCGGCTCTACAGGCATTCTAGGACACCCCCAAGGTATATATATATATATATACCCTAGGGCTCCTGGCCTACCTCCGTTTCGAAGTTGGTGATGGTGGGTGTCAGGGGGGGTCAGTCCCCACCGAACCTGAGGATATGGGCGTTCGAAGCGCCAGGGATATATAGAGGGCCTGTATTGGACCCATCCCTGTCCAAGCCTCCCTGCAGACCATCGAGACCTCGAGGTCTCCAGACCGGGGCTCCACACCGTAGGCCTCACTGGCGCGGCAATGGGCGGACCACCTGGCGCCGTCGCGACGCCGCGACGTCAAGCGACGGGCCGTGTGTGTGAGCTGTTCTCGAGGCCGATGGGTTGTTTGAAGGTGTTCGAAGGCGTAGAAGCCAAACGGTTCTCCCTACGTTTGTTTAATTTGTTGCGAACAGGTCAATCTTTATCAGACTTTGAAGATCTTTGGAGAAACTTTGGGAGGACTTTAGAGACTTTGGAGGACGGATGTCTGCGTCTTTAGCTGAAATGTTCCACTTTTAATAAGTCGGACCTCTGCGGCACTGCGCTGCTGAGGGAGACATCCCTTGATGGACCTTGAGAGGACTGAAATCAATCACTTCTTCATTCTCAGGACCTACTCCATATTGGGGCCCGTTCCCACACACTCAACAAAAGGCGCGCATGGATCCATCTATGTGGGAATACCGAATACCGAGACTTTTAGCTGGTAATTTTTGAGTATCCCAAGGCGAAACATAAGGACTTCTTTTTCGTTGAATCCAAAGATATCCAAAGCAGTCCATCTGCTAGGACAAACAATGCTACAAGGGATTCCTGCAAGAAATCTGTGCAAGAGTGCAAAGAGTGTCTGTGGCAATGGCTCAAAAAGGAACCTAGAGACCCGCAGGTTCTCCCGCGTAGTTGTGTGGAGGGCTCGATGGCGCAGTACCAGGGCCTGGCTTGGAGCGCCGCATTTGAGTATTTTCCGGCCAAAGTGCGGGTAGGACCACATGAAAAGTCCCGGAACCCAACAAGTGCAGAACTGAGCGATATCTGATTTTGAGAGGACAGAATACATCTGCTTCATTCATTTACACCCCCTGAAAACTAACATGAACCCCGGTCGAATGGGACCTGGAAAAAATGGTTTTCCTCTACCAAGTCAAGTGGTTTTTAGGGTCCATGTGAGTTTTCCACGGGGCGACCGTGACTGTATGCAGCGAACGCGAACGGAACTCTCTTCGTGGATCCACCCAGTCACAGTTGACCCTCTGCGTCTACTTCTCGGAGGGATACACAACTGCCTGGTACCCTCCGGAAACCAACAAAAAGGAACACATCCTCCTGGACCGCAACCATCATCCTCCTGGACCCTCCTGGACGGATCCCATGATGATCCGAGATGCCCCAGTTCAGTGCCCCAGTTCCATCCCGTCTGGACCGCTGACGCGGCGGCACCTCCCGCTTTACAGCCGCGGAACTGGGAAGCACCGGACGGCCGGGGGTCGGAGGAGGGAGACTGGAGAACAGGTGGAGGTCAATGGAAGGTCACGGACATGCACGGTGTAGCGCTTTTTGGAAAACGTCTAGTCTGTATCATGTAAACGTATCATGCATTAACATATAGTCGAGTCTAGTCTGCAATGTCTATTCTTGTTCATGCATTAAATGTTGGATTATGTTGCATTCCTTCACTCAATATACACCACGCCGACCGCTCGCGTTCGGATGTTCGAACACTGGGCAAAGGACGCGTTTCGGAATTTTGCTGGACTCGTGACCAGCGTTTTGTATGAGAGGTATGCTTCAAAGATTGGAAGAGTTCAATAAAAGCTGGTTGGCAAGGGATGGAGGATCCATGTTGGTTAGTTATGTTCATCAATGTTGACCTTTCTATCATCCTGAGACCCCGGAAATGTCCTTCCCAGACGCTCGTACCCTCATATGGAGGGGCCCGGACCCTCAAATCTCTATGGTTTTGAGGGACCAAGGGCTGTTTGGAGCGTCTGGGATTGAAGATTAGAATCCTCAAGTATACTATAGATCGAGTCTGGGACAATCCAGCAGAGAGATTGTAAATACACGTCCCTGAAATAACTGACTGGTGCGTCTCGCAGGGAATGAGGGTGGCTGGATCCAATACAATCTCTATTGGGGGATCATTCCCTTGTTCCCTACTAAGCACCAGTCAGATAATCATGGAAGTGGAGTGAAAGACCCACCTCTTTGGTGATCCGTTTGGTCTGTCAACATGGGCATCCGAGTCTTTGCGGCAGGCTGGCAGGCCATCCACGGGCTTTGCAAACATTTGCAAACAAAGACCGCAACACTCCCACATTTGATCACAGCACACCGTATCACTTCCACATGTGAGGGATTGGTTGGGCCGTGTCTTGGAAAACATACCTCCCCACACCTCCTCCACATGGGATACACAGTGTTTGGACAGTTTTTGTGGTTCTTGGGAAGCTCTGCAGCTTGAGAAGCCCTGCAGCTGTAGGATTGGTTTCTTGGGACTTGGCAACCTCATACCAAGCCAAGGTTTCAATGAATGGCCCCCCCTGTATGGGTGACCACAATACCATACCCAGACTCTCTCTCTCTCTCTCTGAGTGTCTCTTGCTCCCAAACAAACCTACACCCTATCTCTCCCCGCGTATTTCTACACCGCAAAATCCGACTTGTAACCTCTTGCCACACCTCCCGGGATTGGCACCATCTTCGACTTCGATGCCCCCCCCTTTCCCACCCAGTCGTCTCCCGCCGAGACCGTCGTCTTCCTCCGACTGGGCGTCCCGTGCCAAGGTCACCAAGCTCTTGGCAGCCTCCGGCGCCCAAGGTGCAAAGTGATCCGCCGTGCAGCTGGCCTTGGAGGAACGCGAGAGGAAGGGCGAGAGGAACGCGAGACGAGGTACGAGGTGAAGAGAGGTGGGGGGGAGATTTCAACTCACTACTACTCAGTTGACATGAATCATTCAGCGTATATAAATGGTTGAACGGAAACATGTCTGAAACTACCACTCAGGAGAAGGTCACGTCAGATCAACCGCAAACAATGCCAAAGAGGTTGAACGGCACATGTGGTTGTGCGGTATACAACTTGGTCGAAGTTGAGTTGGATGAAGATGAACATGAGCACGCGCGGACCAAAACTCAATCCTCTCAGCCCTCCTTCCTGGCTTGACAAACAGTTAAGTTCTCTTGAACTGCTCATTAGACCTTGTTTTTGCTCGTCAATTAAGCCCTCAACTGGGCGGCATTCAGCTTCCAGCCCTGAATCCTGGCCACTTGTGTCGTAACATGAAGTATCTACTACATATTTCGGTCACAGCTTCTCAGCTTCTCCCCTTCCCCACCCCCTTCTCACCTCATTCTCCCCAATCCGGGCACCTCCACAGCCACGCCACGGCCACCCAGCACCCGCCCGGGCCACAGCCGCGCCCCCCGGGCCCCGTCGTCCCTGGGTGCGCCGGACCAAGGCGGTGAGCGTCCGCGCCAACGCCGCCAGGGCGGCGCCGCCGTCCAGCGCGGTGGTGCGCTGGTCCTCGGCATCGCCTGAGGTTGGGACCCAAAACGGCAATAAGACATCACTCATCACTGAAATCTCAAGCTTGGTCAGATTTGGCGCACGAGCTTGCCAGTTGGAACACTGTAGATCCGCTGGATTCATAAAATTGCTGAAGCTTGGTCATCATTGGAACACTGTAGATCCGCTGGATTCATGGTTGGGCTTCCACTAAGCAAGTGGTACAACTGGAGGCCCCAAGACAGATTTTTGTGCATCCCCAATGCTAGTCGTCTTTCAAAATGTTCAAACGGCATTCCAATGACATGTTCCTGGTTGGTGTTTTCAACCCAATTGAACAATATTAGTCAGAGGGTTCTGTCATCCCCAAGTAAGGGTTGAAAACATATCCGAAACCATCACCTAGTCATCTATATTCTGTTCCATCATGGTCTATCCAATATCTACTCTCAGATGGCCAGAAACCAACTTGTTTCAACTAGCCTGGCTGGTGTTATTGAAATCTGCGGCCGCATGTTTCGCATAGTTTGGCCCACTGGGCTGCCGCACTGCTCGTGGCGGCCCCAGCAAGAGCGTGTGACACTTTGGTCATCGCCTTGAGTCGTCAAGCATCTCGAAGAGTTTGAACATGGCTCTTCATCCATCCGCGGGTTCAAGAACTTCGTTGATATGTACCCCAAGAAGGACTCAAACGATTCCCATTTCCAAGGTGCTCAGGGGGGTTCGAGGTGTCTACGGAGAATCTGGGAGTTTATATGGAGTGTATATATATATAACTATATACAATGATATCGTGGAAGACCAGTGACTTCACATAAACTTGCAACAGAACCAAACTAGGATCTGCCTACGGATGCAGTCCTTGTGTCAACTAGACTGACTAGACTCCCTTCTTCCCTGCCGCGTTGGACTCCTTTTGAGGCATATGTGAAGATCAAAGGTGGTTGGTGTCTTGGGCAACGTGTCTTCCACCTCTCCATGCCTTATGAATCCAACCATCGATCCGGCGGTCAATACAATCACATTGTGTCTTGGAAGACTTAGGGCCATGTATGGACTCTCTGTTCTAAACCATAACATTGACATGACATTCACCCAACTTCAACACAAAGTGTCCTTTTAGAACCCATGTCCCAGAAAAACAAAACATATGCGGTGTCTTCCAAAGGCCCAGTTGAATGAAACACCTGCGTCTCAGACCGTCAATGAGACCTGGTCTCCACCTTGCCACCTTCATGGGTCACGCATTTCGATGGGCCGGTACACCCGTCGTCCAGCCCCGCAAGGACTCAATCCGGAGCTTCGAACAGAAGCTCGGTCCCGATGGTTTGGAAGCAACCAACTGCTGGTCACCAGTGACCCAACACTATTTTCTTTGAAGGCAAACGTGACCTCTCTGGTCGCAGTTACCCAACGCACTTACCGCCCTTATATACCCCCCCTGCGCCTCCCTTCGCCCGACCAATCGCCTGAAAAACTGCTGGAGCCGCGGTGGACAGAACCGAGGCCGCCTGGAGAACAATCGCAGACTCTCAGACTGGCCGGCCAAAAGCAAGACTGAAGTTCTGCTCGAGCTGTCTGGCCGAACCCGAGCTGTCGACCGCCGGGTGGGGCGTTGAAGTGCCGATCTTCAGGTTTGGGCCGTGACATTCCCTCATCATCACGCAGCCCCTGCTGCACTGACTCTCACGCTTCCCCGGTCGTATGCAGGCCATTTGTGCCAAGTTCCATGACAATCAGTTGGTTTGGCAATAGTAGCTTCTTGGACATCCTTCTGGAAATTGACACTCCCCTTTTTTCACCTCCCACCCAACCCCCTGTTGATCACTGCCTTTGAAGTTGAGGCTCACCTCAAAAGGTCGGTTAGATGCTTTTGTCACTTCCTCCTTCGGTCTGTGACCCTCCCTGCGATTCGGACGGACCCCCCCCAAAAACCACCCACCTCGGGTTGGTCTTCGGACCATGCTTTGAAACCGGTGAATTCACACGGTCCATGTGGTCTGTGCATGGGCTTGCGGCTTGCATCGCCCACACCATCACCACCATGGCATGTCCATGTTTGTTTTAATGTCTTATACTTATACTGTATCCGTTTTAATCCATGCCAGGTCCCAGAAATTCTGAAGTCCAAGCGCCACCCTTTTCTGCAAAACAACCTCAAAAAGACATCCCGCAATCGTTGATCCTGTCATATCCTGCCCATGTCACCTCACCCCACCGATCAAGGATGGGGTTTCTACAATCCTTCATGGCCACTGCGACAGATCTCCACGCCTCGTCCGTGGTGAGCTCTTGTAGAATGGCGCTGGCTGCAGCCGCGGCCTGAAGTTGAGCTATTTTGCTGTGGGATTCTACGGGTGTTTCTTGGGAAAAAATAGGTTTTTGCATTCCATGGTCCAAAACCAAGCTATTGACTGCTGTTGGGGCCCCTTGTTTTGCCTCAAACGAACCTGTTGTTTCATCCCAGTCACTTGGTGGAACCGATTGGCTACCGGTGGAAGGGTGCTTTTTATGTCGAGCATATCCCAATCGAACATGTGTTTTTCAAAATCCGGCGAAAGCGTGGGGTCCCCAGGCAGCCTTTAGAAGGTCTGAATTCACCACTGATGAGTCTCTCTTAGAAAGAAAATGCATGTTGTACCAGGAGTCACAAGATGTGGCGCTGGTCACTTGGAGGAAGTCGGGGTGCCCCGAATTCCATCCACTCACTGGATGGGACATGATGGATCTAAAAACCCACCCAACTCCATGTGACTCCTGGTAGAGGTCCGCATTTCAGGTGGGTTTGGATGCCCTACCTTCTTGGTGTGGCACATCTTCTTAGCTAGCTTGCCGGTCCCTCAGGGCGCATTGGTATGAGGGCAACCCGTCAACCTGACTTACTTTGAACCATTTGGTTTGGCTTCTGCAAATTGAACAACAACAGCACCTACTCTCTGCAGAACTTTAAGACAAGGATGCCCTCAACATAACTAAGCATCTTTTCCAGCTTCCATGATACATGATGTCTCCGCCATCCTTGATTGACTCGTTGATCCACTTGTGATATCTCTGGTGGTTGTAGAACGAAACCGCCCGACTTGCGCGGGGGCGGTTGGCCCAGACCATCCATGTATGGAATAGATAATATGAATAGATACATACCCCGTTTAAGACCTCAACGTTACCCTCCTTTCAATGTGTTCTTCCTGCGCGTCTGTTCAGAAGGCCTTCTCCAAGAGTTCCAGCTGGGGTTCCCGTGGAAGCAGTTCCACTAAACGACCCAGGATCTGCTCAAAGCCTCCACGCGCAGAGTGACGGTGCCATCGTTCCACTAAGGAACGAGCCAAATGACAACACCACTTAGGTCCCCAAGTCTAAAGGGAACACGACTGACACCGTCTTCAGCCCCCCGACGACGGGTCGTGGGACACGTGTCTGGTCTTTTCGTGTCGCATAGTCGTCCACTCCCATGCTCGATGAAATCAGGGGACAATCACGCGGCTAGCCGCGACAACAGATCTCTACGGTGCAGAATGCAAAAGAACCTGAAAGAACCATAAGACTGATTATATATAGACGAAGGATAGACGATAGAATACTATATATATAGAGCATAGTTTTCAACCTGACTGACATAGTTCGCCTTGTCTTGGACTCTAGCAAATTCTCTCTACTTGAGGGTGCCAAAAACCGAAGGTGGAGAACACATCCGCTTGCCGCTTGGCCTCTCTTTGGGAGGCCAACCTGCTACCATCAGTCCGCTGGGCCCAGCAAGTGTATGGTCATCCACCATGAACTTGCAACGATGACTAGAAAAGCTCACACCCTTGAACTCAGACTTCCAACCACACACGCCTGATAGATTTCTGTTAACAAAAACACCAAACCCTCCCCCACGAAAGCAACCCTCTAAATCCCTACCTACCTGTCGTCAGTTCTTCGGTCACGGGGGGGAGCGCACGTGGGCACTGTCTGACTCCACAAACCCCGCCAACTCACTTGGAACCTGAGAAGAATAGACCATACTATAGACCCCTGGTTTTGACCATTCCCGTACCCACATATTTACCAACCACAATAGTGCTTCGCTGGAGAGGGTGAAAAAGGGCATGGCTTCGGGTCCATGTGCTCACCCCCCATGAACCGAAGGGAGGACTCCTGACCGACCTCCCGATCGACGCCGGTGGAGACGTGACTCCGCAGCGCACTGACCGACTCGGCCTCCAGTGACCGACTGAGAGGATTTCAGCTCTTCGGCCAGCAAGACGGCGCCCTCGCAGGCCGCCTGGAGGCGGTCGTGGGTGGCAGGTCGTGGGGGGAAGCGGCAACAACCGGGGCGGTCGGAAGGATGTCACTGGAAGGAAGCGGCCACAACCGGGGTCAGGATGTCGTGCAAATGCTCGACTCCAGGGATTTGGTTGTGGAATGCTCCATGGACTCTGAATGGTTTGTGGAACTGTCTCTTGACTGTTCATGTGTCGTTGATTGAAATTGGATCTCTCTGCAGACCCTCTTGGACTCCAAAGATCCAGATCCAGAACTCTCGCTCGCCTGGCGGACCCAAACGGCAGAGTCCCTCAAGGCATTGGCCTCAGTCTCGTGGCCGGGCCGGAGTTGGGGGGGGGTCCCCGAGGTATGGTTCTTTGCTTGCCAAGTGGCTCACCGTGGGGCTCCTGGCCCACATCCCAACGTAAGGTGGTAACAGGGCAGTGCCAGGGGGGTCTAACCACCGAAGCTGAGGATATGGGCCAGGAGCCCTAGAGTCGACTCACGAGAACGTACCGGTCCAGGGACATAGACACAGCATGGCACAGCATGAAATGGTACGAGTATATTGTATATCTGTGGTTCGGTATGTCAGAACATCTTTACAGGTGGAACAGTGCTCTTTTGTGCTCGCATGTCGCTCCAAAACCAATGGAAGCTGAGGCACCACGAAAGCACCAAACATCTGTCATTCTTGCGTTGAGGTGTTTGAACTCCTGCAGCATATGTTGGACACGACAATGCCTTGTGCCATGCATGTCCAACAAGGACTTCAGCACATACAATATACTATATAATATGTATAATATATATATATATATGTTACAATATATATATATAATATGTGTTATATATGTATTACTGCTGCAACTGCTCGGTGTGCATGGTCCGCTTCCCGCATCTTCCTGCCTTCCATTCCAGACTTCCTGGGTTGCCCAAAGCACTGTGCAGAGTTGGTCCGTTGCATAAGATCGACTTCCAGCACTCGATGATACTCCCTGAACGTTCTGGTGGAAGTGGATGGCCGAGGCCGCCCCCGAAGACCAAGGACGACCCTGTTCAATCCGAAGAACGTTTTCAGCCAGGTGGTGGTGAATGGAGTGTTTCAGAGTGAGATGCCCATCCTGGCACAGGATTCATCACCTGGGGAAGGCTTCCATCTTTCTCAAGCTCTGTTGACGTCGGGCCACTGGGAGCTGGTTTCTTGGGGCCCAAGCACCCAACTCCGATCCTTTGGCACAATAGGTGCACCAGGTCGCGTGGAGGCACCATCTGGAACCAACCACTTGGCGTATTAGAATAGGGAGACCAAACCAATGGGTAGCCTTGGTCTATCGATTTCTCTTCTTCCAGGGTGTTGCCTGGGAGGTCTCCGTAGAAGTCATACACAGCCACTTGCTTTCAAAAACACAGCGCCACAGACGCGCCCAGACAGAACCGCACAGACGCGGTCCACGGACCCCTGAGATCCCCCGGCCAAAGGCACCGCCCACCCCGCGGGGACCTGCACGATCGATCGTTGGTGGACAGGTTTTGGGTCACCAGAGTTGAGGGATCTCTTTCGAAGCCTTTTGAGATGGGAAAAAAACAGGAACAGAAGGAACAGGACTTCCGCAATTGGACGAGACCTGGAACATAAAGGTGAACCGAAGGAACTCCGCCAGTTGCTGAGTTCATGTTACGTGGGGGGAACCCCGATCCCCCCAAAAAACGAAAAAATTGCAGGTATACATCAGTGAACTCACTTGTCCTGGGTAGGTATCTGGGTTTTCTGAGACACCTCCGTCTTTTTTGGCCACTTCTACAAAGGCCTTTTGGTCCTTGTCACCGTAAAAAAAGTCGCCTGCCTATAGGCGTTGGAATTGCTCTGTTCTTGAGTGATCGGCTTACTTGTACGGTCTTACAGCCCTTGCCGCAAGGGTTCGACAAGTCTCAAAACAAGGTGGTTCCAAAGAGAATGCCTCCAACATCCTCCAACGATCCAACCACCAAAGACTGCCCCCTATTTCTGCAGACAAAAGCTACCAATGGGTACCAAGCCCACACTACTGCCCACACTGCACCTCCAAGGCTTCAGTTTTCCTCCACCCTGCGGTGCTCCCCAGCTCCTCAACAAACCCACACCCGCACCTCCCTCAAACCCTCCTCCGTTTCGCTATGGGCCCCCACCTCCCGCGCGCCCGACAAGGCAAAGGCTACCTGAGCGGTTCGCTGCCGTGAGTCGCGCCCTCGGTGGATTGGAAAGGAACCAAGAGAGGAACCAAGTGACCTGAACAAACATCCGTCACCTGGAATACCCGACCGGGATAGTGGAACTAGGGTTCTTCAACGGAATTTCCAGACATCAAGAAATAAACTCCTCTGAGACCCTCCGGTAGCAAAGACCTTGTAATTCCCAACATCTGAACTGGCTGGTCTTGCCAAATAATCCTCATGAAAAACAATTGATCTTGGTGAACACCTCCATCTCCTCGTTTGTACAATTCAAGTCCTCAGTGACAAAAGAGGTTCCACCAGCTGAAAGTGGAACTCACTTGATCAGTTCAATGATCAATCCCTAGGGCTCCAACTCCCTTGGTGGTTGGGGTGGGTTTTGGAGGTCTAACCACCTTCTGAGGATATGGGCCAGGAGCCCTAGGGAATACTCAGCTTTGTCTTGTTGGGATGACATGGCCAGTTGGACAAACAAAACAATGCTCCAATGCTCACCAATATGGTCCTGCAATGGTCTAGAGATGTTTATAGAATCTTCAAAAGCTATGCATACTAATAGCTTAAAAAGACTTCAGGCTGCCATACTAGCTACACCTGAAAAGACTGCTTTTGGTAGTCCCCAGCAAAAATGAAGAAGGCACTTGACCTGACCAATAGACTACATACGTAACATATCTAAGATGCAAGTGACCTGTGTGTTGGCTCCTGGGTCCTTGCAGCAGGGCCATCTTTTGATTCGAGGTGATCTTGCCCCCGGAGGGCGACATCGTTCCTTGCCTGGTAGAGCCTTGCCTGGTGATCTTTGGACACCAGCCAACAGGTCTTGGATGCAGGGGAGAAACATCTGAATAAGGAACCCAGCTGCGGCAGCTTTGGAGAAAGCCTTCGTCTTCTCAGTTTAACACAACAGCTTGCCAAGTAACATCCCGACTGCAAAGGACAACATGATGTGAGTCGAGCTCGGTCACTATGGGTGACCTCGTTTAGCTCTCTTGGCACCATCCTGTAAGACTTCCACCACCTCTGTATGGCCCTTCAGTGCAGCTAAGTGCAAGGCTGTTGAGCGATCCATCTCCTTCTGATCCCTTGAGCCTGCTTCCAGCAGCAAGCGCACCACTTCCAAATGGCCACTCTCCGCAGCAAGCAGCAAGGGACTTTGACCATCCGTTGGGCTTGTGGCTGGATCGGCACCCTTGTCCAGCAGTGATCTCACGACGTCCGTGTGGCCATGACGAGCGGCTAAGATCAGTGGAGTGACGCCATGCGTCGCCTGCGGATCACACGAGGCTCCAGCCTCCAGCAAGGTCCGAAGCACTTCCAGGTGACTATGCTGCGCTGCCAAATGCAAGGGAGTTTGACCAGTATCCGCGGTCTTCGTATCAGGAAGCGCTCTGGCCTCCAGCAGCAACTTCACCACTTCAAGATGGCCGTTCTGAGCGGCCAAATGCAAAGAAGTCCAGCCGTCATCGGTCGCGGCCTTGTCACAAGAGGCCCCAGCCTGCAGCAACAGATTCACTACATCCAGGTGTCCATTCTGGGAGGCCAAATGCAAAGGATAGTGGCAATCCTGCTTCGTTGCCTTGGATTTGCTGCCCAGGAATCAGGAAAAATAGAATATATTCCCCATGCAGAAGGGGATTTAACCATAGGGGAACATGACAAATTATCCTTAAGCAAAACCAGGTTGCTGTATCAGGAACTGCTCTGAACTCCAGTAGGGATCGCACCACCTCCAAATGACCATTCTGTGCTGCCAAAAGGAGCGGGGTGACACCAGTGTCGGTCATGGCCTGGTCATGGAACGCCCCACCTGCAACCAGCAAGTTTACCACTTGTGGGTGCCCGTAGTAAGCCGCGAGATGCAAAGGAGTCGCGACATCCTCTTGATCCTGTGCAGTGGGGTCATGAAGGGCTCCAGCCTCAAGAAGCATCTGCACCACTAGTGGGTGGCCATTCTCAGAGGCCAAATGCAGAGCATACCGACCTTCTTCATTCGTAATGTTGGGATCTTGAGGAAGCAAAAGTCGTCGTTGGACTTCTTCCACATGACCCGTGGTACAGGCCACGAGAAAGGACTTGTCTTCTTCTTGATCAGGTGGCCAGTGGGCCAACATCACTAGCTTCAAATCCAGTGGTGGAACCAGAATATCATCATCTTTCATCTCCTGAGCTTGATTGAACACGTGAAGAAACAAGGTGAAGTTACCCTTTCAAGAAACAACACACTGACACATCTAGAACCTTTATAAACAAGGTCAACCAATGGGGAACAACAACAACATTAAACTGCAACATAGTGTTTCATCCAGTTCTATGAAGCTTCAATGTGTTTCATCCAGTTTCAATGTGTTTAAAAACTTCAAATGTGTTTCATCCAGTTTCTAAACTATCTTCCACATGCACTAGCCGCAGTCGGAACCGCGAACCAACTCCACGAGACATGAGTTCACGTTTCAGGGCCAGCGCAGTGTTCCCGCGCTCTTCCACCAAGGCATCAAACTCCTCGGCACTCCAAACTGCCAGGATTTCGCCGGAACCCGCCCAGCACACGCGAAGTGCGTTCGTACCACCATCAACGACAGCTTCAAGCGCCATCTGCAAGCGAAACTGGATGCTAGATGAGTTTGTACCATGCAAATGGCATGTTTCTTGCTAAGTCTACTGCCTGCCTGCAGTACAACCCATGATGGTTTGTTGGGTTGGCTGATCCTTGAAATTCCTCTGAAGGTTGGAACGTCGCAAAGAGATGAGTGGAACGTCATAAGATGTTTCGTGCCATTTTGGAACGTTCTTCGTGTTTTGTGCACAACTTCGCTGAAATAGAAGTCTGAAAGGCATGACTCAATCAATCAGTCCCTCACTGGACGACAAGATCATAAAAAATGAGCTGCACATGAGTCCTTCCCATCCTTCCCCTCCGGGTCCACCGAATGACTTCCAGTCTGACGGGTGAGTCACTCTGGCTCACCGGTGGTCCGTTGGCATCCAAGCAAAGCATACCAGGAGTCATAAGATGGATCGAGATGGGGTGCCGAACTTGGAGTTGCATAGGTGATGTGCCCAGAACCTCCATTCACTGGATGACTAAAACCACCCAACTCCATGTGACTCCTGGGATGCAACTGTTTTGTTTCTCGGAACATCACTGTATAGATCTGTATAGTTGTCCCAGAACGTCGCTCGAACTCGTTGGGAAACAGCGACTTTGGTATCTTACAAGGACTGCCAGTTTTTGGGCGTGAACTTTTGATATCTGCTGAAGCAAGCAACGGGCCCCATTCCACTTTCTGTGTCACAAGTGAAGGACCCGTTTTTGGGTTCTTTTGCAGTTCCAACGTCTGAAAACAGGTGGCTTCAACATTTGAGCTGGCAAAAGCGTTTCGGTGCAAACAACAGGCCAGGCAACATTCATGTTCCAGGCTTCCCAAAGTCTTGCAAAACCTGCCTGCTGGTTGCTAGTTCCAGGCATGCTGCTAGGGGTCCACAGAGTATGTGAAGGATTCGGATCAGCCGAATCAGGGATGACCGTTCTCATGGCCGGTCTGTTGGAATGGGGGCCCTTCAAGGAAGAGGAGGACTTCCGTGTTTTTGAACCTTCCTTCTTTCCTTTCCTGGCGTGTTCACGGGGATGTTATGCATGGTAACTCCCTTCTCAGTATTTCCCGGTCCCATGGATGACCTCCAACTGCAACTTAGGATCCACCAAAGACTCCAACGATGCAGAAATCCAAGCATCTGAAATTAACCACTCCAAACAACCATCTGAGTCTGAGTTGATTTGATCTCCTCCCATGTGATGTAGGACTTGCTGTTTCAACCAATGCATCAATGAATCATGCTGTGATACCAAAAAAGGAGCTCCCAAACCACCGCATGCACCGACTCCGCAACGTGGGCTTCCGAGGCGCCGCATGCACTGCAGCGGCGCGGTCCAAAGCCTGGACAGTGGACCCGAGGATAGCAGCAGAAAGTCTAGAGGTGAAGCCCACTGTGTGTGTCCACACTGTTTGGGGAAAAACACCATCATCGTGGCCAGTTTGGCTACAAGCTGGCAATACTGCTGGCGACCAAAGAGAGGAGTTATATAGTTGAGAGCTATTGCGAGAAACAGCACCCAGGACCTGAGCCGTTTTCAGTTGACCCCTTTGGAGTCTCTGAAACAGTGACCTCCGACCTCCGGAAGTGACCGAACATCCCTCCGGGATCTTGACGGTCGGTCCTGGTACCATCAATGAGTGTCCAACGGACTACCCTACACTCCCTCCTATTCTTATTAAAAGGCATCTTTCTTTCGAAGCGGAGAAGCACCAATGATTGGGCTTGGACAAACATATCATATTGGTATGTATTTTATTGTATGTTGTATTTGAGACCAAGACTTGCCTTCGACCCACCTCAAACACCCAGTCTCGGATGCTCGCAATCTTCAAGTCTCGGATGCTGTAGCAAAACACGTCGCCCTGTGACACCGAAAGAGACCCTGTGACACCGAATGCGACAAAACTGGATTACTGCAGGTGACGAGACATGCAGGTGACGTTCTAGGTCTGGGGATGTCTGGGGTACAGTGGTTCTTCATGGCTCTTCCACTGGTTATCTTATTTTCAATGACATAAATTGCTTCAAGGATCTTCGAGGTATCATCTGTTTTGGACATCCTGCTTTTTCCTCATCACTTTGTTTGTGGTTCCATGTGGTTCCCCAGCAAGGACACCTCTCCACACCTTCAGCGTCTGATGGAGAGATTATTGTCGCAGCACAACTGCTCTCACCAGACATGACTCATTTAATACATCCCCAAACGCTCATGCACCCTCATATGGAGGGGTCCGGGGTCTCAAATCTCTAGGTTTTGAGGGACCAAGGGCCCAGGGCTGTCCGGAGCGTCTAGGCAAAACATATAACTAAAACCAAACACAGCTGAACTCATCTGAATCCCATCCAACATGACCAATTTCGAGTCAGATTGCTCTGCTTCCTTCGCATATCTTTGGACCCAGGGACATCAGCACTGGCTGCAGCCGCTTTCGCTGCCTTTGAGGCAGGCGAAAAACCAACCAGGAGACGAATGAAATCCCCAATGCCACGGACCCGTACTCACCACACTACTGAGTAGCCTTACAAGAAAGGGTCTAATTAAGCTCTTACTTCTGCTCCTGTGTATCCAAAAATAACAACACAGCTTGATTTGTTCCAGCCGATTCCACATGCTCTATAGTATCTACTTGACCTCTTCACACTTTAACTCTCCCCCCTAGACAATCATTCTCAAAACAGTTTGGCACGTCGAAAACCATCCGGAAACTCAGTGTTAATGTCAAACAGCATGTTCCCGCAGTCTTTCAGGTAGCTCACCTTTCGCCAGCCTCTAGGGTTGAAGCACCCTTAAATTCGCTGAGGTTTTGCAATCTAGGCATGTGATATTTTGGTGACATACATTATCTTGAGGCCACAAGCCACACTCTTGCATGGAGACATGTTGAGGCTGCTCTGCAGAGCTGAAGTTCAAGCAATAGACTAAAGTGAATATTGCCCCACTGGCCGCACACCCACACCTGGTCGCTTGAAAACTGGATATATACCGACTTCCAACCTTTGCATTCCTTTTTTTTCGACTCCGCTAAAAGAAAGAAAACATGCCATGGAGGTCACCAAGGGAATCCAAAGCAACAACCATATAAATGTTTTAGTTCTTCCCCGGGGTGTTTTCAATACTCGATGTCACCCGGCGGGAAAGAACCGTCAGCCAACGGACCTTCTCTCTGAAAGCGAACCAAGCGGTCGAAAAGATATGGACAAAAGTTTAGACAAGGGATGTGCAAATAACATGCACTGCAGTGTGAATGAGAATGACTGATACAAAACGGAACATGGCATCACACCGGAGCGTCAAACTCAGAGATACAAACGCAGGGCCGAATGATGCATGTCATTCAAGTCAAAGTTAGAGCAAATCCTGATATGTCAAATAGAGGAAATTGGGAGGGCTAGCACCACTTGAATAGACTAGACCATAGAGTTTCCTAGCCCCCCCCCTCATACCCCCACTCCGGAACTGCGCCTCCAGAACCGACGCCACTGCCTGGGTAGGGTGGGCTTTGGCCATGACCCGGAGGCACTCCCTCGCGGACAACGCGGTGTTGCTGACCTGCCATGGGGGGTCCCGGCTTCGGCACGACCAACCGGCGACGCCCGTTGTATTCGAGGCGCCGGCGATGACGAGACGGAGCACAAGTGACGGAGTGGCAGCTTCTATAGGTGGAAAGAAACCTCAGCTATAGGTGGTTTCTATAGGTGGTTGGTTTATGTTGGTTTCTATGTTTCTATAGGTGGTCAAAGTGTTATTTTTGATCCAACGGTGCATGTAGGATAGTGTCCATAGAGGTCCATAGCATCCAACCTTGAAGCCTTAGGGTCTGATGGTTATGTAGTGTTTGATGTATAGCAATGTTCATGTAAACATGCATCCATATCATTAAACCCATCAAACACTTCTGTCTAACGGCTCAGTGTCTGCTTGTCTCATCCCATCTGTTTTTCACGGCCTTCGGTTTCAGTCCTTTTTCACCCGTGGGGGGTACGTTACCCCCCACGTGGAGACCCACGAAAGGAGTGTCGGAGTGGTGGTGTCCAGGCCGGGATGCTGTGTGTTTTGCATAAATATGCCATATAACATGGAGTGTCTAGTCTAGGATTTTTTTCACTCATCTCACCATTGGTATTATGTTTTTTTTTGGGAAATCTAACTCTTCCATTGAGATCATTGAGCCTCCAGCTTAAAGACATGGTTCTTCTCATGTGTCGGACCATCCAACCCGGTCAGGGTCCATGTCACGGTCGGATCGCGTCACCAGGCGTCACCAGGCGCCCCCGGCCTCGTCCAAGTCATCCACCGAGGGCGCTGCATCCTTGGCCGCGGAGAAGGCAGCACCCACTGCGGCCCGGCCCTGGGGCAGTCAGCAGTGAACATGGCGGAAGAGATATGAAGATATGCTTCTTTGGTAGAAGTAGTAGAAGGATGTATTTTCATCATGTTCATTTAAAATCTTAACCCCTTTCTCAAGGCCACAACCCGGTCATAACGAATCAATAGGCGGTCTTCCATCGATGTTTGAGGCAACATGAGGCAACATGATTTTCGGCCTACCAGATGTGTTGAAGAGACAAGGACTTTCTCTACCAACAGCCTTCTGTCGCTTGGATTGGAGTCTCCGCTTGAACGTGTTTGTTCATGTCGGTTCTTCGATCGCTGGTTGGTACTTTGACAAAAATGCTCATGAAGCCTCCAAATCCCCGTTTTTTTTTTGGAACCGCTAGGAGAATATCTGGGTTAGAAGCTTTCAATTCCATTTAACTCCACCCTTGACCAACTCAGCCTGTCAGCTCTCTCGGCCTGCTCTCAGCTCGCCTGAAGCCCCACTCACCCCACTCATCCGTCCCAGTCCGGGTCTCACCTGTTGACCTGCCAAGAGCATCGGCTCGCTTCGAACCAAAGCTTTCAACAGCTGCAAGGCCTGGTCGTCGTCTCCCCCAACTGGGTGGGGTGGAGGACACTCGATGCTCCAGCTTGGAGTGGCCGAAATCCATTCCGGAAGGTCGGAATTGAAGATGCGAAAGAACATG